GAATCGATCCGCACTGCCACATTTCCGAGTGTTATCGATGTGTCATTGTCCAAGCCAATGCAACTTCCTGGTACACCGTCATCACATTTCATCTTCTGACTGCAGTCTGTCTTGTATATGGCGTGTTCTTTCGAGCCAAACAGTAGACAGCGCCAATATAATAACATCTGTTCATCCCATTCCTCGTGCCTTGCTACCCAGGGCGGCCGACAGTCATCTCGAATTTCTCTTTTTCTGCAAATTTTTCGCAAATCGTTGCCGCACAGATCTGTGCAGTGTGGTCTGGTTGCCTCTACAGCACAGTCGATGTGGACCGCGTATTCGACTCCGTCGTAAAAACCCTTAGTGACGGAGAAGAATGTATGTAGTATTTTTGTGTAATTAACTAGCTGTGGTGCCTGAAACATCTGTACATGTTGAAGGTATTTGTAGGTGTCGGAGATTATAAACGCTTGACCATAGATATATTCATCTTTCGCCCTGTTCATTTGTCTCAAATAATCGCAAAATGTCCGTACTTGCAGTTCTCTTCTAAGTATTTGCCTCAATGTGGATAAAGTGGCGGCAAAAAATCTGAATTCTTGATCATTCGGATATTTCTCTACGACAGGCCTAATCGACACATAACGTATAGCTGATGCATCCGGAGGGCAGCCAAACTCGTTATAAATTTTAGTGCGTGTAAGTCGTGGATTGGACGAAGTTCTTCCGAGGTGAGCAACAACCAGGATAATAATAGCCAATGGCAATTTTGGTGCACCCAGAAGCGTCCTCATTCCGACAATACGGCCAGTTTACTGAGTGGGACAACCGGACGATCGACCAAACTTAAAATTCAAACGCGTTATTGATTTCTAGCAGTACGTGGACGGCAGAGCATGTGGCAACTTATGCGAAAGTAAAGACCACTGGTCGGAGTTTTAGAGGAAGTAGAGGAAAGAAGTCGCATGCTGGCATGATAAAGGGGTGTCAGAATTCTCAGTCAAGCTATCAACTAAAATCAAATGCATCTGATTGTCGTTCAATTTGCATGCATTCAGATGTTAGCCATCTTCATCTGCGATATTCTAGCCACTGATATCTAACACAGAAGACGCATTTAATGAGATTGTGGTGTTGCCATGAGATGTTTGCAGTAGTTTTCGGGATTTACGCCAGGTTTATTTGTTTTGCAATCCATTTGTTGGATTGACGAACTTAATGATTCAATAAATTGTCTCAAGTAACTACCATGGAGGAGGGGATGCTTCACTGCAGGTCATTAGGAAGGAAATGCAGAAATGCTAGATGTATGGAAGCCTTAGCCTGCTCCATACGAACAATATGACACTTACGTCCATCCTCCTGAATGACATTTAAAGCTCCCTTGATGAGCTGATGAAGAAAACCCACACCATTTTCACATTTGCAGAAGTAAGCTCAATAGGCAGACGGTCAAAGTGACAAAACTGGAAAACTGAAATCTTTGTTGTCGATTTATTTGGCCTCACCTGACCGTCACTAACCAATCATGGTCGTTTGCATCGCGTCGTCCCCTATCTGCTCCACTGTGTTAAGGGGATTGAAGGAGTTTCGTACACGAGCACCAATAACTTCGATTTCTGTTAGACCTTTCCGACGATGTCCAACGTGTGCACCTCAGCAAGGCGGATCAGGGACGATGACCTGCTCGTGATTTAGTTTATAGTATATGCAGACATGGGCAGCGTCTACCACACGCTCCTCCTCCTCCCCCAACCGGGCCCGGCGTCAATACAGAGTCAAGAAGGCCGGATGCGGGGGAGGGATCGGGTGGATGACACAGTCGAGCTCGCATCTTTATCACTCCACTCCGAAGCGCTCAGTCCACACAGTAAACGACCACGATTTTAGCCAAAAACAACAACAACAAAATGGGCCGCATCCGCCCATAGGCTTGCTAGGCACGGATCACTCAGCTTGGGAATGCAACAAAGGCCACATTAAAAAGAAGCCATTCCAGCCAGACAACCAGTCGGTCGCTCCACACAAACGCACAAAGCTGGGCCGACTGTGAGGTCCAATATATCCCGTCAACTGGAAACAACAAAGGGGAAGTTCAAATTTCGGACATGGGAGGACTTTGTTTCGTCCGCCACAGTTGATTCGCCGGCATACTAGTTTTTAGTTGTTCTACATTAGAGCAACGTTATACTAGAATATTTATCCGCCCCTAAAACGAGCCACACTATGGATACGCTGGACCTACACGGGAGCTGGATCGGCCCCGGGAGGCCACAACGGGAATGTGTACACACACACACACACACCGAAAATGCTAACATTGGAGACATGGCGGTAGGCCCATTTACAGGTCCTCGCCCCGCAAGCTGTTGTCGTTTAAAATCCTGGTCTGAGTGTGTTGTGGACCAGAGAAAGTTAGTACTGTAACTGACAGTCATCACCACGAAGCGCGACGTCTGTGTTCAATTCCACACTGCGTCAAACTTATTCACTTTCCAGGTGAGCGATTCCGGATGCATTGACAAGGCAGTCTGGCCAGCCGTAACATACGTAAACCAGTATCTGTTTTTGGTATTTACTTTAGCAGATTCTGAATCCCTATTTAGGCACAACCGCATTGAGGCATGCAAAGAAGGTGCGGGAATGATACTAGTGTATTTCCAGGGTGAAAGCGGGAATGGGGGCTCAACGACACCTTGATAAAATTTAATTCCTATAAATTCAGAATTGATATGAGGGTCGAGCGATTCGTGCGCGCAGACCCTCGGAGTGAGCATGCAAGTCGTCGTGACAGTAGATACTGCCTGCGTCGGGAGTAATTTGCCTCTAGAAGTTCCCCGCGTCCCTTTTGCATTGGATTTGCCAATCAGCCCAGTGTGGTGCGATTGAAGCAGTAGTTTCCTTCCAGTGAGTACACAAAGGCGAACGGCGATGGGCGATGCTGACGGACTGCTGCCTTGTGTTTGTCACTACGAGTACCCAGACGCCCACATGGACGACCGAAACACGCAGGACCAGGTAGCACATGAGATGCAGTAAGTGGTGCTAGCCGGCCCTTCTTTTTGACTGGAATTCCTCACTCGAGATGACGTTGTGCGCCACAGGGACACTGGCCACTGACGAGTCAGGTTATGTGTGCGGTACCTTCAGGGGTTCCGTGCGTAGAAGGCAAGGAGCAGACTTTCCGGGTTACCATTCCCCCAAGGGAAGTGCACACTGTTGCCTGTTCTTAGAGTCCGAGGCAGTTTTCGACAAGACCGCTGAGGCACCGATGAAGTAGCCGTTGAGGCGGCTTTTCTTAGGCAGATAATTCCTACTGCGTTAATGAAGGCGTGAATGAAAAGAGCTCAGTCACAGCTGCTTCAGTGGACTGCTGGGTGATCGGTTCGGTAGATGAAAATAGGCTCAATATTAGAATATTTTTCGCAGACAACTGTTGGGAATTAACTATCTTTCAGCAGTTATTGGTGCCAATAACTGCTGTTCTTGCCTACTTCAGCTTCGTACCGGGGACAAAATGCTTCAAACTATCTTTCAGTTTTCGCACGCCCATTATTGAGGCGGTAGCCCACACCCTGACGCAAACACATTCGATTGAATTTTAAGGCTGGGATGGCACTATTGAGTTCTTGAGGCGGTTCTTCAGATTCGTTGTCATTCGTGGCTACGAAGGTGTCATCCGGCTGGCAAAGCCACATTTATGACCATAGAGTGCGCATACTGTCCCCTACTAGTCTTCGTTAATCTGGTAGCAGTCTTCATATCACCAAGCCCATTGGGTTGTACCAAAATTCGGTAAACCTCGACACTTGCTCTGGAACCGCCACAAAGTCGTCCTAAACACGAACCTGAAGCTGTACATAGTTGCCATTCTGAAGACGCTCGTTAATGGTGTGGAGACGGGAACAATGCTTGAGAATCAGGCATGAAAGCGATACTACATTCACGTTGTATCCTCAGAAGAGTAACTAGGCCGAATTCGAAGAAAGGCCTGTGGTACACTGAGGTCTTAGTAAAAACGGTCGAGCTTGATATGTGTGCACAGTGAGAAACTGCAGTCGCATCGAGGACAAGTTAAAACTGAGCACATATTGCTGGTGGTACGGGGTAATGGTGTCAAAAGTTTTTAGGATGATAGGATCGCTCTCGCTGGTCAGGTTGATGGCAGTGGTGCTGTGAGATGTGTTGTAAAGTGAGAAACGAGTTGGTAGTGTTGAGATTGCCCTCGGTCTAGAGATGTCGAACGAGATCCAGCCGTACACCGAATATCCGTTCAAAATGTGTACATGATGGCAGGGATTTGGGACGCTTACGCCAGTCTTCCGTAGAATTGGAGTATTGCGACCACTCAGTTAGCCTTGTCAGGGATATTCAGTTGGCTTCGATGATATCTGCCCCGGTATTTGTTAATCCTGGACGAGGTCATCCTAGTTCTAAGGATTGATAAGTAAATGCAGCGTTTTGTTCAGCACACATAAAGTTACTTTTATGGTAAGTAAAAAATACGTTTTCGCGCGTATTGTAGAACGAGCAAGGAGACACTGTACATTGTTAAGTTTGTGCTAATAAATAGGCAGTCTGATGCACAGAGCAAATGAAAAATGAAAAACGCTCCTTCAAAGTTGGTTGAAGAAAACAAAATAAATGTGATTTGCTTAGTCCTAAATAGGAAAAACTGTCGCTCATGGAACCGGGCAGTCCTGCAAGTGAGAGTAACGTTTCCTGTCAAGGTATAATTCCTAAACAGGATGAGGCTATCCGCTGCAGATGCGATCCTAATGTTTTCGGAATGGCAGCAGAAGCAACCGTCAAGGTGGCGAGCGAGGAGGAACCTAACGCAATCGGCCACAGTTCATTTGAGTCCAAGCGAGGAGTGGACATTAGGGACTACGAGGATCATCAAAGCGCACGAAGATATGACTATGATACTTCTTTGCCGACCGGCCAAACTACCAGTAGATGACAAAAACAGAAGAATGCGCTGTGGCCGTCAACGGATTATTTGGGGTCGAAAGGAGGAGGAGATGGTATTAAAGTCTGCGAAAATAATCGCCTCAGGCGAGGACTAACAGTGGATTTCTCGGCCAATGGAAAACAGGGATTGGAAAAATCCAAGTGCGATTTTCAGCTTTAACAATTGAAACACGTATTATCTGTCGTTAAATCCCAGGAGGACCATTTTCAAAGTGCATAATTTGACTTAACGCAAACGAAACTGTTGATAATGAAAATGCTTTCCTGAGCAGAATGTTTACAGGTTATTTACGTAGTTTCTATTTGAATGCCGATAATTTGGGCGAGGGCCTAAGTGATGGTGAAAGATTAATCCACAGACAGACAACGTTGGATGCAAAAGAGAGGGAGCGTTTAGACGTAGAGCAAAGAGGTGTCAGAATCACTATGGAGCGTGAGAACGCCAACGGACGGAAGATTAGAACTAAGGTCAATGCAAGAGAAGAAGAAGAAGAAGAAGAAGAAGAAGAAGAAGAAGAAGAAGAAGAAGAAGAAGAAGAAGAAGAAGAAGAAGAAGCAAAGACCGGTTTCGAATCTTCTTACCCGTGAAGGGGTCGCCGAACTGTACACGACAGTATTTAAAAGACCAGTTGGCGAACATATGTTTGCTTTGGATAAATTCTCGTCGGTCCAGTACATTTATTTGGGAATGAGGTAGAAGTAAAGACATGTCAGTGATAAGAAAAATCGATCAAAGTTCGTCTTAAGACACAGGCGCGGTGGGCGAATTTGGGGAGTCGGGAGTGAGGAGTAATAGCAGTAAATTCCACGGACGGGGTGGAAGCGGAAGGACATGGAGAGTTGCGGCGTTAGTCGACCTTAGACCACGGTAGATGAGGGGTCTGTACGTGGTTCTTTTGTGTGTACAAGACTGGTTTTCGCAACCTAATGGCGACCGCTTCTGCTGTTGCTAACAGGCGCTGGTCCAGTAGCTTAGGGTGATTTTATAAATCACGCGAAAAGCTTCGCTGGGGTTCACACGATGCCCGGGATCAAAAACATGCGCGAAAACGTCGCTGTTTATGCACCTAGCTTGGCCTGCTCCCAACCATGCCGGGAGGTGTTCTCGCATTCTCTTGTATAGGTGCCGACTCGTGCGACCAAGATGACCTGCTCCACAGGAGTTAGTAAAGGAATAGATGTACATTGATGCGACTTGAGTTGGAAAGCTATCCCTCCCTTCTCCTGGTAAAATGAAGCTAGTTGATAATAATATTTGAACCTTTGCTGCTAGGAAGGATCGAGAGGCAGCTTGACGAAAGCATCTTCACTCGCAGCGCCCCCTTGAAACGGGACTTTGAGAAACAACACTTTCTTTCTGGCAGTCAGTGCGGTGAGTTTTTCTGGTCGTTCAGCAGTTGCAACAGACTTGTCAGGATATCCGTTTTCACGAAGCAGATTCTGCATTTTTCTGAGCTCCTCATCAATGCTATCTGCAGAACAAGTTTTTCTAGCCTTTTGCACCAAACACCGGACTGGATTTCGTTTTTGTTGGAGGGACACGAAACTGTCAAAGTTCGTATATTGTCCAGACCAGGTTTTCTTCTAATAAACACCCTTTCGGACGCTACCGTAGGGTCTTCTGCTTAGAAGGACAGCCGGGAAAGGGAATGAATAAATCGTTTGCATAAAAACTTGATGTTCGCCAATTAAAATTTCTCAGAACAAGAAATGCCGGATCGATCTTGGGAGAAAAGTTTTCGAGTGAATACTGTCTGAACACTTTCGATTTTGCTACGGTCACAGGCGCTTATTAAACCAAAGAAAAGGCAAAAAGTGTTTAAGAACGGACGGAGAGAGCAAACATTTAATAAAGTTTAAGTTTCAGTTCCGGAAGGAAAAACTTATGCAATATGAACCCACATATCCTCGCGGCTTTTGCAGAGATTTGATCTGCATGAATTGATTAAGAAGCTTAGGCCCACGGCCTATATTTTGAAATATTCTGAGAGGGAGTTATTTTGAGAAATTATGGGACCAGGGAGCTTGGAAGGGCCAAAACACATGAAACTGCACTTGGACGAAGAAAACTCCAATTGCGACGCTCAACTCTGTTTCCGCAAGTATAGAAGATCGGCGTTAAGTTGTCGAACACGAACGTTTACGGTGTCCTTAGAGTATGCATAAACGCATTAAAAGTCATCGGCATAAATAAACCTCTGAAGATTTCTTATTTCTGTCAAAACATATGCGAGTTAGGAATACCATCCGTTCCCGAGCAGTATGAGTTCTTTAGACGACTTTCATTCGGGAACAGATCCCAAGAGATGCAATACGAAATTCTAAAATGTGTTTCCGACTACGAAGGATTACTTAAGCAGGGTTATGTTATTGATTATCATGAGTATTAATCTCATGATAATTCGGAATCGCCAGGAAGTTGGCTTTTGAGTGCAGGCCATATGTGCATATTGAAAAGAATCGGAAGAACTGGAAGAGAATGGCTTTAAAATGTCCAGAGCAACTCGTTCAGCAAGCTTCAGTAGTGCGGAAGAGCACGCAGTTGGACGAAAAGAGTTAAAACCAAATTTTACGGTTTCATAGGAATAGGAGGAACTCCTAATGTACGCCAGTCGTCAGGAATCTTCGACGCCGTGAAAAGTAAAGTAATCAGATGCGTAAAAACAGGTATTATAAGATCTACCATTCCAGCTCCCACAAAAGGAATCCCTAGAAGAACATATTACATTGGGCAAACAACCACTGCACTTGGTCTCCCACAAGACCTACTCTCCTGATTTTGTGTGCCCCAATATTATGCAGTCTATGTTGTGCCCCTAAAAATCGAATAATATTTCACGCTAAACATACGTAAAAATATTCATTCTTTAGCTCATCCTGTAGAAAATTACGTCTTCTTCGTATTTTATACTCGAAAGAGGGATATAATTCGGTTTTAAAAAAGTTTCTAACTGTGGGACGGTAATAAAGGGGAATCATATAGGGTTCACAAGATTAAACAGTGGATTTGACCCAAGTTGTTAACTTTACAAGCCACATTGGTAAATGCAGAGATATGACGATTTATAAACGGTCATTTCACGATATTAAAAATTCCCAGAATTAGAAACTTTTTTAAAACCGAATTATGTCCCTCCTTCGAGTATAAAATTAAGAGAAGACGTAATTTTCTACCGGATGAGCAAAAGAATGAATATTTTTATGTATGTTTAGCGTGAAATATTATTCGACTTTTAAGGGCATCGAAAATCAGTGAGAAAAATTCATGTTATATAAGTATTCATTTTTAACAGGGTGTTGTTTTTGCATGCAGCCGAAAGGAAGTTCATTCGAAAGCCGGTCTCCTGAGGTAATTGAAATATTTTAAAATTATGTTGCAGGCTGACTAATTTTAAAACCCTACTTAATTAATCTTTTCGAAACGAAAAGGCATTTCCGAATTTCGGTTGACATTTTATGAGCTAGCCCACCTACTTTATTTAAGGAAACAATTTTAAAATTGAGTTACTGAAAGGAAGGGAACAATATTCTTGGAATCGTAGAACTGTCGGAAACGATGGTACATGGGAGGAAATTTGTTGGTTTCTGATGTCATGGTGGGTGGTACGTATTCCTGCACTGGTTAGTGTTCTTCTTAAATGTGTCCACGGAAGGGGGACATGATGTCGTCCACAGACAGAGCATTCCACGCCTTAATCACTCTGTTGGGAAGGAAAAACCCTTTGCGTCACAAGTAGTTTGAGTGGATGAAAGAAAGAAGAATTCGCTTTGTTTTGAAGTATAGATTCAAAATGGTCAGCAAATAGGGCTCCATTCACCGTGGACGGAAATGAGTTAAGAAACTACTCACGAGTCAAAATGTGTTACACAGAAAGACACGACTATTACGGGGACCATTCAAGAGTGGGCTTTGATTCTGCTGCCCCAACTGAGTAATACCATATGATTGATTTTTTTAAAAAAAAAACTTCGTAGATATGAATACGGTGGCATTAACAATATCCCTTATTTGCATCTTCCCTATCATTTCAATCCAGCGAGTGACTGAGCCAAGGGGAAGAATGCTCATACGCTAGCCTCGATCACTTCAGGTATCAGTTCATACACGCTTCCCTGCGCGTGTTTCGAGCCCTGCTTGCGTCCTCTTTATTAAACTAATCCAGCGAGTGGCTAAGTAGGCTTGTTCAGGCAATTGTTTGGGCGGATTACAACTCCATTGGTCCCACCACAATGGCCATGCACTGCGAATTACCACGCAGTTCCCTCTGTGGCCTTCCCATTGTGATTGCACCCTCCTTATCCATCTAATCCAGCAAGTGGCTGTTTCGCGGGGAGAATGTGCACACGCCACCTTCTCGCGCTTCCCTGCGCGTGCTTCGAGCTCTGTTTGGGCTCTCTTTCCCTTTATAATCCTGCCAAGTGACTAAGTTAGGTATGTTAACTAATTTGCTTCTTTTTTTACCTTAGAAAAGGATATGCTGCCTACCAAGACGTTGGGTCTCATTCCACCAGTTTGGCAGCCACAAGAATCTGTCGCCAGTTCCGAGCTTTCATTAGCTCATACCTCTGATCGTAGCGACCTCCAGAATTCGGTGAGTGTCTTTCAAAGTATCCATGTGTATGTATTGACCCTTATATATGTTGGAAGTACACGGCACGCCCACCCCGTTTCCCTTTGGGCTTCGATCTAGGGCCCTGCAGGCAGTCGTGTAACAACTGGCAGATAGAGCTTACTAACAAACACTAGGGAGACCGGGATGGTCACTTCTGACTTATTAACGGTCGTCGTCGTCGTCGTCGTCAAACCCAGGTTCGCAGCACCTGAGCCTCGATCCTGCGTTCTTTGGTAATCGAGCGTAACTTAGTCCAACGTTCTACTACTTGAACTATGGGCCCACTGTCCCGTGGGTAAAGATCCGAAATATCAAGTATGTTAGAAATGCAACACGAGCATTTTCTGTAACGATATAGTTGTTCCGATATAGTTGTATATATATATATATGATGGTACATCGGCGCTCACCGATCGTTTCTGCGGAACTCACCCGTCCCGTTGTGCCTTCCGGACTCTCTCTGTTGAGCCCAGCCAGCAGCCACACAACGGCGCCTGATATAGGCAGAATGGCAATGTATATACAAATGGAGAATAACATTACCTACAAAGATAAGGGAGACTGGAATGACCATTCCTGGCTTATTAACTGTTTTCAGCCAGCGAGTGGCCGTTTCGCTGGGAGAATAGGTATGCGCCATCTTCATGGGCTTCTTTGCGTCTGCTTCGAGCTCTACTTGCTCTCTCTCTTTCCCTTCCTAAACCAGCGAGTGGCTAATTGAGGTATGTTAATGAATATTGTTTTAGTAAGGTAATCATATTCCAACAATCAAGTGGGGCTGCAGAATCAAACCTTGCCAATTCAAGTCTTTGCCTCTGTATCTCGATCTCTTTACACGTGCGATAGCGAGCCAGGAATGGCAATACAGAATGCTGACATTCCGGCGTAAGGCAAAAGGTTAACTGAATGCCACGGCACCGGGGCGAGAGGACTTCGCAGAGATTAGTCCAAATTGATGGGGATGGGCAATGTCGTCCAGAACTCGACCATCAAATTACTTGACCGTTTTGAAATGCCTTTGTATGACAGAGCCGACCAGAAAGACATAAGAAACATCGGCAGCAGAAGAGAGCTTTCGGAGGTGACTCATTTTAAAATTAAGATATGTCTCTTGATTAAGGCAGGAAAAATGACAAGCGAACAATAAAGAGTAAGAGAAAGAATGCAGGCATCTATGAATCGCCAGACTAAGGGTTGGTGTGAGTGGCATGAGCGTAAACGACGAATGTAATAAAGATGTTTACGAATTTCAATGAAAGGAACTCAAAATGGAGGGAAAAAGAAAGGTTTGACGACAAAGTAACTCTGAGGTGCTCGAAAGGAAATGCCTAATTGGGAAGGATGTAAAAGGATTCAGGACTAGGAGAGGGTCACAGTCGGAAAATACATTGGACTGCTGTTTGACTACTCAGTACAAGACTATTTTCCTGCTACCATACTGAGACGTGGTCAAGGCCATCCCTCAGCGACTGGAGATGTGTCCGATTTTTAAGAGGGTGTCCAACAACCATATCACCAGCAAACCTAACTAACTGACAGTCGTTTGGGAATCTTAAATCATCAGTGTGGAGGGATAAGAGGTGAAAGAGTGAAAAGGAACATTAAAGAACTCCACAGTCATTGGGAAGAACCGTGGATTTCCGCTTGTCGGTCTGTAGAAATTAAATGCCGGAAGTAAAGTAATCGACAAGCCAGGAAACAATCCAGTCTGCAGAGCCGCACGCTGATGTGTCGGTAAGTAGGCGATGGCGCGGGACAGTATTGAAGGCGGAGGAGTAGTTAAAAAGAGTACATGTAATAGAAGAGCACAAGTAATAACTGAGAGCAGGATAGTGTCTGCAACGGCCTCGTAACATGGACAGAGCCCGCTGATAGGACTGCTTCTCGACTATCAGAGTTAAGACCAAGGGATGCTCAAATTTCTGACAAGGCAAGCGAATGCAGAAAGCAGGGCAGCATTCACATTCGCCTCAATACCGGTAGGGCACCGAGGAGTTACGATGGCCTTTCGACTCTCTGAGCTAAAGCCAAGGAAAGTGTGGGCTGAGTGCGGGGAAGTGGCCGCAGGGAGCCGGTACGGTACGATCGCTTCTCGACTATCCGAGCTAAACTCAAGTCGACTAAATACGAAATGCAAGGCTATATCCGCATTCGCTTCGATAACGATGGGGAACCAAAGTGTTACGATCGCTTCTAGACTCCGAAGACATATAATGACTGAGAGGACTTGTCTCGTCACATGGAACGTCCAATAAAAAAAAATAAGTATGGCTACGGAAATAAGTGCGGTAAAAAGTCTTGTGTATGATAGTTTGCTTGGAGTCCTACAACACGCCGTTACTGAGTTCGGTTGTGAAGGCTTAGTAAATATACAGTGAGTGCCCTATCTCATGAAATGTTGACTGAAATTCTGAAATGCGTTTTCGATTAGGAAGGATTACTTGGTGGCGGTTGTAATACTGACTATCTTGCGGCATACTCTTATAACATTTCGCACTCGGCAGGATGTCGGCTTTTAAATGCATTTCTGTTCAATCTCCTGTAGAAAGCGTGCTCGGTAAAAAATGACTACTTAAATAGCATGCATTTTTTCCCATTGATTTTCAATGGTGTTGCAAATTCAAATATAATTTATAGAAACCACAAAAAGTATGCTTTCTTTTAGTCAATCAACAGAGAATCACGTCTTCTTTATATGTTTTACTTAAGGAAGGAGTATAATTAGGTTTTAAAAAACTTTTCCAATTGCCGAATAATTTGGAGCCTGATCATTCGTTGCCTTAGCACTGAGTAATTTCATTCTGCAAGGTGCATAGGTTCCCCGTAAATAAAATCATATATTTTTCTATGCCATTAAAGAGATATCATACAGAATCCATCAAATTTCGCAATGGATGCGGACAATGTTGTATATTTCTCGAGGAACAGTGGTAAACGGCCTGGTATGATGCTATGTGAATTGACATTTCGCGGTCTTAAAAAGTCTCATAATTAGAAACTTTTTCAAAACATAATTATAATTCTTCCTTAAGTATAAAATATAAAGAAGCCGTGATTATCTATTGAATGACGAAAAGAAAACATATTTTTATTGATGGTTTCTATAAAATATATTTGAATTTGCAAGAACATCAAAAATCAATGGGAAAAAATGCATGCTATTTAAGTAGTCATTTTGAACAGAGTACGCTTTCTACAGGAGATTGAACAGAAATGCATTTAAAAGCCGACATCCTGCCGAGTCCGAAATGTTATAAGAGTATGCCGCAAGATAGTCAGTATTACAACCGCCACCAAGTAATCCTTCCTAATCGAAAACGCATTTCAGAATTTCAGCCAACATTTCATGAGATAGGTCACTCACTGTAAGAGAATGCAGCATCCCATTAAGTGGAGTGACGGCACTTCTCTTTCGGGTCAGGGGTCGGATTCGGCTTCTGAATCACATCATTCTGACGGCATGCCTCAGGTGATTTGAATAGAAAACTCCAAGGACTTCGTTGAAGTGGGGAAGCTATCGGTGTGGCTAATGTAGACGGATTCGCAGACGTAATAGATGGGCCACCAGGTGAGTTCGAAAAGATAACCGCGGCTGCTGCTAATTTGGAAACAAACGAAGGCGTTAGGTTGCTTGTGTGAGACGGAGATGTAGAAGTAAGGGAGAGCAGTGAGTCGGATTTCGCAGGAGTGCGATTAGCTGAATCTCGAGGTTACTTGTATTATGGCCGAATTGGTGAGCGTTTGGCTGAGATTAAGTCAGTTTATTGAGGGTATATATAAAAAGAGGAACCAAATTCTTCGCGCTTCATGGGGGTAAAATCATGACGAAGGATAAAATTGCGCGTTTTCCATATATATGTAGAAACACGACCTCGGTGAGCCAAGATTGAATCGACTGGTGAAAACAGTTTAATTAAAATAGGGGATTTGTTACTACGGGATGACAGGCGTTTAGCATCCATTACCTTTTAGTTGAACCCATACAAGCAGAGCAAACCAACCGGAATATCAACATACTGTGCAGGCCGATAAACGTCTTTCATTTAGAAGTTATAAGTCGTTATAAGTCGATCTTTACAGCTGTCTAATGCATGCAGGCTAAACTGCCTATCAAGAAAAAGTGGTGACGAATGGCCATCAGTGCATTCTGACCTAGATTTGTCAGAACCAAGGCCCAGATCTTTTGCTGACCTACGAATTTTGCCCTTATCTTCTATAGAGGTAAGCTGCAATTGACTAAAACTCCTAACAGATCTTATGACCGGATCTCGGTGAGAGTTACACAGCGCAAAAATGCACACCATTGAAGACGGTTAGAATGCACAAAATACAGATTGCAGGATTCGACGAGCAATTAGCAAGCACAGTCTAGCAAAACTCGAAAGGAAAATGGAAGCCGGCAATTCTAAAAGAATAGGCCTGTACTAAAAGAAGTTTGGTTAGATGATACTTGGTAGCCCTCCTGACACCGCAAACTCCCAGCTGTCTGTCAATCGGGACCGGTGGTAATAGGGGCTATACGGGTGGGACAATTGAGTGGACGGGTAAATGGCGATTGTAGTATATGCTAGGAATTGACGCTCCAGGTAAAATGGAGGCCTAATTCAGATTAGGTGAAAAATACAAGGAAGGTATGGAAATGAGCAAGGAGACTTTGAACGGTGTGCGGAATAAGTGCATCCTAGCCTCCGATTGGAAAGAAAAGCAAGTGAAGGCGAACAACCAATGGGAAGAAGGCAACTGGTCCGAATGTCACTCCGCAGTGTGTGCGATAGAACTCCACCCAACATAATGGACAGAAGAACATGAGAGTCAAGCAGCGGCACGCGGGACGCCACAACGCAAGCCGGGCAAGACTTGAATACGAAAAATTGGTTTGGGTGGAAGAGAAAATCCGCAAATAATGAGGCAGTCGAAATCTACCTCTGCTAATGAAAGTTGATAAATGGTAAGCCTCATTGTCATCGTTACCGGTGCCAATCCGCCCAGGATACTACCTCCACAATGAATCTGGTACAGGCAATACAGCGGGCGCGTAAATTTAGAAGCATAATGAGAACGCAATCATAGCTACTGAAATCAAGCCAGTAGGTGCAATTGTGGATTCTATGGGCACGCCTGCCAACTACCTCTTTTAATGAAAGTTGATATAGGGTAAGCCTCATTGTCATCGCTACGGGCGCAAATCTGCCCAGGATAGCTCCTCAAAAATGAATCTGATACAGGTAGTACAGCGTGCGCGTGAATTTAGAAGCATAATGAGAACGCAATCGCAGCTACTGAAATCGAGCCAGCAGGTACCATTATGGAGTCTGTGGGCACGGCTACCAACTATGATCTTATCAGAAGTTTATTCGCAAAACGAAGGTTGAAGAGTCTCTGTCTATCAGAAGAACCGTTCATTTATCTTCGGGTTTGAAACCAGCGGCCTGACCTTTCCATGGTGTTCAGGTGCCTGAGGGGAGTGTCTGGAAGGTGTTTGGCGGTCCGCGCCTCCTTGCTCTCCGCTGCCTTGTCACGCTACCCTCTTGTCCGCCCCACACACTCCTTATCGATCCGCTGCTGGGACTCGCGAGGCTTGTCACTAGCTTCGCAAGTGCTCTAGGTTAATCAACACTGCCCCTTCTCTGATTGGCTGGCGAAGGTGAGGCAGAGCGAAAGGCGCACATGCGCTGGGGTCTAAGTGTAAGTGTCGAAGTCCTCCTATCTGACACCCGATAAGAACACAAGTCAGTGCCTAAGGGGGAGATTAGGGATTATGTAGGACGACGAGAAGACGGGTTGGAGTTCAGACAAGGTAGGGAACACGAGGAGGTCCTTTGGCATGGACTGGTTGGCCTGGAGATGGTCCTTGGTTGGTCCGGCAAGCGAGAACATCGATGACATTTGGGGCCGTCCGGGAGGCGTTCTCCGGTCCAAGGTCCTCAGACGTCAATTATTCTCGGTATTTATGGGGCCTCCAGTCGATACGAGTAGGTTTAATGGATAGACAAATGGGCACGAGTAAGTATGAACAATGAAAGGAAGAATAACACAGAAGATTAGTATAGTATAGTATATTTAGGGTAATAGGCGATACACTTAATGAAAACGATAAATACATATAATGTTAGATGCAAATCTTACTAAAATTTTGCCAGCAACATGATTGTTTACGGAAAACGTTTTTACAGTGTGTAACTTTGATGGGTGCAGCGGGCGGTCTTTTTCATGCACATAGGCAATTTTAAGTGCAGTTATATACAATCAGCACAAAGTGCAGTCATTTGCGTAGTTTGCGAGAGGAAATCTCATTAAACGTGCAGGGATGCGTTACATAGGGATGAACTCAGGAAATAGAATTTATGCTCGACTGCAGGTAGTCCTGAAGTGAGAGTTGTCGTTTATCAAAGATCAAAAGATCCAGCTGCCTTTTCAAGACAACCACTGTATCAGATATCACTATCTCACTTGGGAGTGAGTTCCACGGTCAAACAACACGCTGACTGAATGAAAACTTTCAACGGTCTAGGGGTGTACGCTCCCGCTTGATTTTTTACGGATGAACGCGCAGAGATCTCATGGTCGTGAAGTCAAAGAAGTCTTCGGATTTAAACGAACATTCATACTCGTGGATAATGCGGAATGTCCATAACAGGTCACACCTCATTTGTCTATAGGATAGGGCGATCAGCCGTTCTTGATATGACAGAGTCCTGAGACCGTCCACCATTCTTGTGGTCCGTCGTTGCACCTGCTCTATAGCATCACTGTCTTTCTTCATCCAGGGCATCCATGATGGTATTCCGTATTCCAAGTGCGGTCTGACGAATGTGCCGAATATCTATGAGAAGAGTTCGGGAGCAAAGACTGTGAAGGCGCGCTTAATCGAGTGCATGATGCTGGTTGCCTTTCGGACGGCTCTTTCGCAGTGCTCGGAGGGCAGCAAGTATGAACTTGTACAGACACCTAAGTCTTTGTGCATGTCCACATCTTTGGTGGAACCCCATTTATGGTGTACTTGTGTTTTGGGAAGCGTCTCCGACCGGATTGTAGGCGTATAAATTACACATTTGAGTACATTAAACGATAGAAACCACTTACTGGACCATGCAGCCAACTTATCAACATCTTCCTGTGGTTTCTGCTAGTTGTAAACACAACTGATTGGTTTCCGGTTCTTTATTTCATCTGCAAACACGATACCAGCACATTCAAGATCTGCAGTACAGTCGTTTATGTAGATGTGGAAGAGGAGAGGACCCAAGACCGAACCCTGCGGAACGCCTTTTTATACTGGTGCCAAATGGGATGCAGTACTACCAACAATCGCTCTTAGGGGCCTGCATCAAAGGAAACTTTTAGTTCACTTAAAAGTGTTGCCCTGTATTCCACACTCCAACATCTTCTGTAGGAGTCGTCCATGAGGAGCGCTATCAAACGCCTTTTAAAAGTCAAAGAAGATGACACCGACTGGATGGTCCTGGTCTATGGCTTTTGTTCAACTTTCCTGCGAGTAACGACTGCTCGTAAGACATGAGTGACCACGACGAAATCCGTGCTGAGCATCACACAGTAAGTCCCTCGGCTCCAGACCCGTCATTAACTGTCCCTTAATAAGTCGTCCCATGACCTTGCACAAAATGCATGCTAAACTAATAGGACGGTAACTGTCGGGCTCCAGCCTAGATCCTCCATTGTAAACTGGAGAAATAAGGGTTGTTTTCCGTTCCGTTGGCAGTTTGCCTTCTTCCATGGACTTCTAATAAATCATGGACACCGGCTCACACAGTACGTCGGCCAATATTCGAATTATAAGTGGATGAATTCTATCTGGACCAGGTGATTTGGCAGACTTCAGCCCGCGTATTTCTGTCCTTATCAACGTGGGCGATAGGCAAAGATTGTCTTCTAATCCAGGAGACGAAGGATTTTGTCACTGGTCTGGGTAAGGCATTGGAGGAGGGTTTGTGTCATGAGTGAATACCGACTGAAAGAAACCGGAGAAGACTGATGTTTTCATGTGGTCATTTGTCTCAATTACTCCGTTTTGGGAACTCAGCACTGGAATCGGGTCACAATTTCTCATGCCATTACGTGTGCAACCATAGCGTATTTTAGGGTGCTTCAAGGAGTTTTCCGATATGCATGACACATAGTTCCTTCGAAGTCTATTAGTCCTGCGTTCACACACATTCCGCTGTCACTTGTATTCCTTCAGGCTTTCAGGACTCTCTGTTTGTCGATAACATCTCCCCACCCTATTTCTTCTCTTATGCGCAGTTTGTAATTCCCGATTTATCCACGGTGGGCGGTTGCTTGTTTTCTTTCGTCTTTTAACCAGTGAGCTGAACGTGTTACAGTAGTCGTTAACTGTTCCCTGCAATATTGTTGTCCACGGTATTGCCGAGACTTGCGTTCGCATGCCGGAAAAACTACCCTTTCAGATATTTGTTTGCAATTGTTCGGGTGAATCAGGTTGGGAGAACATGGAGTACTCGAAGAGCATCACAATATGATCACTAGCACAAACTGGCGGGAGATCTTGAACATCCAGCACACTCTCCTCATCACGTGTGAGCACCAGGTCGGAGCAATTTGAACGTTGCCCTTCCCTAACACGTGTTCCGTCATCATCAGGCCCCATCGCAGACGCCACTTGCTCGTATCATATCGGCCCCCGTCATCCCTTCTTCTGACTCTTTGTTTTCTTGACTTAACAAGATAGAACTGGTCCGGGCTTCGAAGACGGCCTTCATCACCCATTTCGTCTCCTTGAGCTACTGCTCATGCCGTTTGTGAACCGTAACGTCACCCAAACCTTCTAGAGGTTCGTATATACAGTGTTACATGGCCTGCATTTTGTCTACGCCGTCCCCAATGTCCTGCCCCACCACCAAAGAACACGTACGGCACCTTTCAAAGCATTTGATCGCTCTGGTCAATTTGGTGCTGCACTCGACCCGCCTAAATATCTACTCTAAATTACCTCCCTTGAGTTCTTCGGACATCTGATGGGCTCCAACAGCAGAGCCTTCTTGCTTCGACTGACATGACCATCTGATTCGCGCTAGTCACTTCTAAACGTCAACTATAGCGCATTATCCGCAAGGCCAATCTCTACCAAGGGTTACTCCCGAACTGTGCGAACACCATTTTACTGCTCACTAATTCCCTTCTTTGGTCCCATTGCTTCGTTCTGGCTCTTGACAGACGCCCTTGATGCATTTTTCAAAGCAAAGACTGTCCTGACCGAAGTCCCCCTCCTGATCCACCCTGATCCTAGCGCACCTACACCCCTCATTGTTGACACCTTCAAAGTTGCAGTTGACGCGTTTCTTCAACAGCACCGTACAGGTCAGGTCCAACACACAGCTTTCTTCTCCAGAAAGCCGTATCTCACTATAGCACATTTGAACGGGCGTGTCTGACTGTATGCCTAGCCGTGAAACACTTCCGCACTTCAGTGAGGGCGGGGACTTCACGGTGTTCATGGATAATAAGTTCCTTACCGTTGCCCTCAAGCACTTCGAGCTCCGTCAACTGGAATGTATCTTCCGGTCACCTGAGATACCCACCACATCGATGTGTGAGGTAATGAAGCGTTCCACTCGCTGCCCAGTCACTCAGTCCCACATCTTCATATTTCTACCGGGATCGACCTCAGTGAAGTGGCTGCCCTACAACATCGTGCTGGTTCCTCCTGTGACGAGAAGGCTTCCAGACTCGAACTCTAGGACCTACCGCTGATGACTGGTGACGGCACCATTCTCTGTGGCATCTCTACCACCTCCCACAATCCCTTCGATGGAGAGTCTCCCCTTCCCTCCACAATTCCTTGTACTTTGAGAGTCTAGCCACTGATATCTGGTCTCCGGTCGATTTGTCTGACGTTGGTTGCATAAAAACCTGAAAGATTTAACTAAGACATGCCTCGGCTGTCAACGGAACAAGATCCAGGGACATAACAAGGCGCCAGTTGACGTCTTTGCTGACCCTGTTGAATGGTTTTGGCCCATCCATTTGGGCACTGTAGGCCCACTGCTTTTGTTCAGCTGTTGCTTCTATCTTCTCGCCTCTGTAGATCGCTTCACGTGATGGATAGCACGTATGCCTCTACCCAATGTGGAGACTCCAAATGTGGTCAAGGACTTCCTCACTCTTTCGATGCCATCATCGGTTCTCCTCCACCAAAACGACTAATCCGGGTGACCAATTCAATCCGATCCCTCCGAGTTCCTTCTCTCCTTTCAAGGCTACACTCGCATCCGCCTGCCAACGGGATAGACGATCGGTTTCGTCGTCAATTAAAGAGTCCTGTTCACACCGGAGAGCATCCGGTGAAGTGGACGAATTGTCTCCCTCAGGGCATATGGACATCCGCTGGGCCCTAAAGTCGGATCTTGACTCTTCCGTTGCGGAACCAGTGATTGATGCCACTGTCTGACTTCCTGGCTAAGTTATCTCTATAAACCTCCGCGGTGTGGTCAAGGACTCGACCAGCGACCAGAAATTTCTGCGGAACAATCCCCCTAGTTCCGCCCAGGCCGTCGGCCTCCGAATCATATTTCGAGAAAGATTTTGCATCTATTCTTGATGTGATCAAATTCGTTGGTCATTGACATCAACCTTTGAAGGTTTCCTCCGGGTTGCATATCCACCTTGTCCCCCAAAGCATGCCGGAAACAGTGACCGTGACTTGTGTTAGGCCAACTGACGTTCAGGAAACTACCGCACTTATCGGCCCAACCGGGCATTTGCAGCACACTGCGTCGCGCCACCACCACCGCCGCCGACATCGCGCAAGTGAACACGCCCACCTGCCCCCCCCCTCCATCTTTGCCGCCACGGTCAACCAAATTGCCAGCAGTGTGGACGCATTTCCAGTGTGTCCATATTGTTACCGCATCTGCGAATCCCGCATCAGTCTAATCAGCCACTTGTGAATTCATCATACTGTGACCGGCGAACCAATGTCTGCATCCCCGAAGTACTCCCAACACACGAATTTGACCTGCTCACACTGTCCCCAGGACATTGGGAAACAGCACGAGTCTTTTCGACTATTCATGTGCATGCGATAGTGGTACTCCGTACGTTGCCAACACAACCAGTTAATCTCCCACAACAGAAACCGCCCCCGCTGCCACCAGTGTCCCCGGAACCGGCTTTATGGACACAATCTCTACTTATCCCTACTATTGCCGTACAACTGGATCACACCTCGGCCTGATCGGCCGGTTGCAAATCCATCGGTATGCAACTGGCACACTGGTTCTGGGGGTCCCAACATATACTCATCACCCACATCTCATGTTTGCCTGTTACCATCACATGAACCTACTCGGTCGTGTGCGTATCCATAAAAGTCTTCAGAAAATCCCCACAGTCTAGAACCCACCACAACACCTTGCCTAACTTGCACGCGTAAACACCTTCTCCTGTCTACTGCCCATTTCGTGTACTCTTAACATCTATAGGCGAGCTCGCAGTAGCACTTGTTTAACTCTTCAGAAGACAGTCGGTGATTTACAATTGGGTTGGGCCCTGAAATCCTCCTCCAGCATCAGGCGGCGGGATGGCCATTACTGTCTGATTGGCCAGGTAAGGTGGGCCGTCCAGGAGGTTTACGAACAGGGCTTATCTAAAACGTGTAGACAATGACAGCATGTACTTCTTCCAGTGCTGCATCGTCCCCACACTCCTTTCGGTATGCTCCCAGACCGGAGATTTTAGGGGTATTCAGTTAGAGGCTAAAAGGTGTGGGGGGGGGGTGGGAAGTCGCATTAAGTGCCTCGTGGATGTGGTGACTGCACTGCTCTGTGGCTCCCGAAACCAGACAGCGTCTAGTTGCTGCCAGTGCTCTCTTCTATTTTCCCCTCTCTATTTCTCTCCCTTGTGGGTAATGTGGCGGTCTAGGCATACCAACTGACAACAGAAGTTAGACAGCAGTGGGAGCCGTCTTAGGCTGCACCCAAGGCAGGCTGCCGTGGGTTGACAGTTTGCATATGGAGTTGAAAACATCGTCCGTTCGGGAGCATGCCCGTTGTGGTGTGTAGTGTTCTTTATACGGGCCTGGCACGTGCTCACCCGCTTGAGCAAGGGATTGACTACATGCTGATGAAGCGACTGCTGGTTGTGAGGTCGGGTGAAAAGCTGCACCGACCAACGCGTTGGCCAGTAGCGCCTGACTCTGGTGTCGCCGATGCGGTCCGGAACAACGCTGCATGTGGGACAGCGTTGGCAAGAACAGGCTCAACTGCCTCAAGTGGGAAGCACGCCTTTGGGCCTTGCCTGGTGCACACGGAATGAGGACCAGGGCATCACGCATAGGCGGGCTATTTAGCCTTGTCGGTCACTGCGCCTGCGCCCACCTCCGTTCGCCTTGACTGTGCCACGCCATTGGGACGGTGCTAAGGGCGTGGAGGATGGAGAGAGGTGGGAGCAGCGCAAGTTTGTCAAACAAATCTACGCGCATGTCACTACTGGGTGGTCCACTTCGTGTAGTTGAGACTCGCAGGCTCTCTGACACCCGAAATATCTTGTCTCTGTCAGGCGACGTGGAGGAGGAGGAGGGCGATGGAGAAGAGGACGGGAGCAGTGACTCGTGGAAAGACTGGACCAAATCACTATTTTGCGGTTCATGTGTTGCGTGGCATCGCCTTTGACACCAGCGCTTACAGGTTCGAATTCTTACTCGGCCAAACTAGCGGTCAACATCACCCAGTCATAATTTCCCTGTCTCGTTTCTAGCACGGCATGTGCTGTTTGCTATTCAACTGTACATTTATCAGTCCACTCCATGTACTCCACACATTTTTTTTTTCACATTCAACAGCGGCCCTCTACCTCGGCCAGTTTATAAGGGAGCTTGCGCTGCCATTTATTTTTTTGAACTCTCCAGAGGTCAGTCAGCGAATTACATTTACGGAGTTCTTGTTGCGTTGGGTCAGGAGATCATCCTTCAGGAATCAGGAGACTGACTGGTCAGGTAAGGTGGACAGTTCTGCGCCGCTACTGCATATTTCTTTCGGCATGTACGAATATCGGGAGCATCAGCGACCGTCCCATGACACTGCACCTACCTCTTTGGGGAAGCAGATTTGCCATAGTCATTAGCGCTAACGCTTTGTGGCTGTCCGCCCCTCGACCTTCGCTGCCTTGTCAACCTGTCCATGTGTCCGTCCCACGCTCCCTGTCGGTTCGCTGGTGGGACCGCGTGAGGCTTGTCATTCCCCGAAGCTAGGAATTGTCCAGCCACCAGTCCCAGTAACCATACCGATCAGTTGAGTTAAACCAGTTTAGAGTATCCGGGGTTTCATATGTCACCATACCTCGTAATTCTGCTCCAATTCCCATCCCTCCCCCTGCCGTCTTCCCTCTCCTGTGGACAATGTGGGGCTTAAAGAATACTAAGTCAACTTACGTCGCACGTAATAAGTTCATCCGGTCTGATGACAGAAGTCAAAGTGCAGTAAGAGCCGACTCAGTCTGTACTCAGGGCAGGTTGCTGCGAGTTAACATTTTGCATGTGGGACAGAAAAAGTCGTTCATTTGGAAGCGCGTAAGTAGTAGTGTGTGATGTTATTTACGTGGGCCTGGCATGTACTCACTAGCGTGAGCGAGTGATTGGCCGGGTTCTGATCAAGTGATTAAGTCAGACGTAGTTATGTAGTGGCACCTGAATTAAACAAACCCCAGCCACCTGTAATATTGGACCAGTGGTAATAGGGGTTTTTACAGATGACGCCAGGAACGCACAGGCGACGAGGTCAAGTAGTTGGTGTCGTCATCGTCGTCTGAAGAAACATCGCAGGACGACTGCCTTGTCTGCCAAAAAGCATCAATGCGATCACATTCTCCCGAGTAGTCCGTATTGTAGTCTGCTAGAGTTAGCACACAGGAAGCTTAAAGGTACGAATGAACTTTCGACAACTGTCGGATAGTCGCCTTCTCAGTCAAAATCCATGCTGTGAAAATCGCTCAGTTCACATTGCCTAAGTCTAAGCTCAGCTTAACTTTATAACACCTCGTGTCGTAGATGCTGGGGTGAAGGCGCGCACAAGGATTCGTGTTGACACCGACAAAGCCGGGCCCGAATTCCAGAAAACTCGATTCACATCTCAACGACGAAACATGCTTGCTCGAGTGTGAGGAGCAATTGCATAGTTCGTGTGGCCATTTTAATCAGGTCTCTACGTGAACTTCAGCCGTGACAGCTCGCTAGAAGTCTTGGTTCTAAGGTCTCGACCACCAGGTGATGACTCGACCCTTCTCTGAGCTGAGGAGCAGGCTGTAGTCGCTCACATTTGTTGAGGCATTTACGGAACTCCTGACACTTCTGAGTTTCGGGCAAAGTGAGGAAACAGCGTGGAGGCTTTAGGACACGTCACATACTGTATTCAGTCGATGCGATCGAAGAGGCGGATTGAGGGAGGGAGTCGCAAAGAGGGAGACACGATCGCTGGGACAAGAGCTTTACCAGCTTGACGTTTCAGATGCACAATCGAATCCATCACCAGGGAGAGAGAGAGATAGTGGGGGAGTTAGATAAATATGGTTAATCACCCAGGTGTGGCAGTGTTTCAAGGATGCAGCTGCCAGGTCACTGCATGTTTATCACAATTAGTAACTGTTGTAATAATCGTAGACGATTGCACGTGGTACAGTAACTGCCCAATTAAGGCAGTGTGGCTTGCCGCCTTGAGCACAAGGAATAGTGATCATCCGTGCGCCCTCTACGTGGCTATCTACTGTTCCTGGGCGGTAATTGAGCTTGTTAATCGACTGAGGACCGGGAGACTTTGAATCGACTATCGCACCAAGTGCAACTATCAGCGATAAACGTGAAGGCTGTTGGCTGTGATAGGCGGTCCTCCCGTTTTCCTGCTAATAAATCGGTGGGCTGGATCAGGAATTTTGTACTAAAAGCTATAAAGTCGACGTCTGTACGTTTAAACGGCGAGACTCGTTGTTTTTCGAAAAACAGGCAGGAGGTCATCGCCTTCTGTTGGGCAGTGATGTCCGCAAAAATGACTCTGTAGCCACCGTCGGATTCGGGTGAAAATCTACCCGCTCCCCATCACCGGCTTTATTTCTTCGAGGACACTGAACTGGCAGAATCACGGCAACACCTCCACGGCCATTCCTATGTATAAACCGACTGTCCAAAAACTCCCTTTGAAACCCCACGGAAGCAGAAAGGGATAATGTTCGCCGGAAGGGGAGAAAGCTCCTTGGGAATTTTCCGAATTCGAGGACGCTTTCAAACAGCGGTGCTTCTGATCAGCCTCCACCGACTGCCTTTATTGGCCAGACACATTCATTTTTAGTTTGGTAGTTTAGCAACTTTGCTTTGCGCTTTGTGCGACATCAGCGACATGCTGCGGCCTCATCGCTTTATTTAAAAAACGTCCTTACGAACGGTTTCGACGTCTGTCCATCTCC